GAGTGATAGAACAGGAGTCTCCATATGGGCCTGTTTGACTTCTGAAATCGAACCCTCATTTCCACTGCTGGGAGCTGGCCCTCTGAAGGACCCTTCTCGCAAATCCTTATGCAAAGCCAAGAAACACTTCCCAGCATCAAATCTCTCTCTCCTGGGAGTCTGGGCTTTGGGGGAGGAAGTTGATGAACAGGGCCCTGCTGGCACTCTCTCTGCTGAGGTACTGTTGTGGATGGCTGGGTGGCAGCCAGGGATGCAGGTTACTCACACCCATCGTCTCCTCCCAGGCCATCAGCCTCATGCAGCCGTGTCAGCATACATGAAGCCCATGCTAGAATCTGCAAGTCTCTTAAAGATGTGCCTTCCAAGGCAGCACCTGCAGAGGCACCCAGGAGCTGCCATCTGGGCAGAAGGCCACTCCCCCGCTGGAGTGGCCCCAGGTGCTCAGAGCTTTTCATGAGCTCTAATGGGCCCAGATTAGCAGGACACTTGCACCGAGTGTGTGTATCTGGAGGGCGGGTTTTCATAAGCAGCTTCTTTCATGGGGCTGCTCCTTATTGACTTCCTGTGGTAATTGAATATTTTCTCTTATTGGACAAGCTGGGCCGATAAAAGAAATATACACAAGCCTTGCTGACGGGAAGATTCTGTCCTGCTGATGCCTGAAGAACTGCCCAGGTGACACATTGGCAATTGCCTCTCCTTTCTCAGCGTACCTCTGCCCCATCACCTGACACTGTTCCATCTCCAGTCTGATCCTTTCTGATCTGCCTGTCTGTCTTTCTGTCTCCTTCGGTCTGTCCCTCTCTTTCGGACTTGGCTTTGTGTATTTCTCTGATTTGCTGACTCCACTGTCTCTTTTTGCTCTTTTTCCACTATGCATTCATTCATTTATTCATCGAGACATATAATTGAGAACCCACTATGTGCCAGGCACTGCTCCAGACACTAGAAATAAGCCAGTGAACAAAACAAGTCCTTGCCTTTATGAAATATGCATTCTAATAAAGGCAGATGCATGCTCCCAAAATAAATAAGGAGTACATAGAGTATGTGGTGTATCCACAGGGCACGGGGCTGGTCTTCCAAGCTCATATCCATGACTAATTAATTGGTTTTGGAACTTGGCCAAGCTCCTTTTCCCTCTCTCAGCCTCAGTTTTCTCATTTCCAAAATGAGGGTATTGGGCTAGATCATGCTTCCCAACCTTTGACGATTAAGAACTTCTTTTATTGATATGCTGGTGATGTAAGTTACACAAGAGCTGGATCTAAGGCAGCACTTACACAAACAGTAGTGTCAGAAGTTTACCTGAAGTTCCCTTGAAACCCTTTGTATTAGTGTGTTTTCTATTGCTGTAACTGAATACCGGAGACTGGATAATTTATAAAGACGAGGCATTTATTTCTTACAGTTCTGGAGGCTGGGAAGTCCAAGGTCAAGCACCTGCACCTGATGAAGTTCATCTTGCTGCCGGGGGACTCTGCAGAGTTCCAAGGTGGTGCAGGGCATCACATGGCGAGGGGGCTGAGCATGCCAAAGTGGCTTTTATAACAGACCCACTCTCGGGATAACCAACCCACTCCCATGATAACCCATTAATCCATGAGTGGATTGATCCAGTCATGAGGGCAGAGCCCTTGCAATCTGATCACCTCTTAAAGGCCCCATCTCTTCATCGTATTACATTGAGTGTTAAGTTTCAACATGACTTTCAGAGGGGACACACATTCAAACCATAGCATCCTTAAATGCCTCGTTTTGTTATACACGAAACAGTTGGCTGCATCTGAGGGTCATGTTGTATTAGACACCCATCTGTAAGCATAGGACCTTCCCATGGCCAGATGAGGGTTGCTGTGACAGGCACATGAGCCTTCAGACCACAGGATCCACAGAGCAGATCCTGAGGCAGATACCGCATGGAAGGACAGGGGATCACAGCACCTAAACTGCTCTCCAGTGCTTTCCAGGTGCACGTGGGGAGTGGAATTCCCACTAAGTCAAGCTTGCCTGTGATGCTGACTCTTGCATTTCATCCCTCTGAGCCCCAGGATTTAAAGAATTTTATGCACCAAATAGAATGTTCATTTTTGTTCTGCAAAGTCATACAGACCTGGTGTCTAGAGATTCTGAACAACCCAAGAAACAAGGTCATCACCTGGGGGTGGTTTAATTGCTCCAAAACCCAAGACACTTGCCCCTCGAGCCAGCCCATGGTGAGAGGTTGATGTCTGAGATGTTATTTGAAATATTGAAAATAACTTTAGGATGTTGCTAGTCTCAGGGAACCCAGTTTGAGCACCACTGAACACAATCAGTCTCCCTGCTTCAAAATCCTCCACCCCAGAGTCCTCCCCTCTCCTGAGGCTGAAACTGATGTGCCTGTATCTAGAACAGCAGCTGAGAGGAGCTACCTTGTGCAGGGCAGGAGGGAGTAACAGAGCCCAGAGCCGGGATGGAGCCACCATGTGTCAAGTGCTGCGTGAGGGACTGTACCTCTATGATACCATTTCATGCTCAGTTAGCACAATTTCTAGAGGAAGTCAGCATTCCTGTCCCCATTTTGCAGGCATGAGAGCAAAGGCCTGGAGAGGTTATGTAGTTCATCCACAGTCATGAGGCAAGAAAGTGATAGGCCAGGTCCCACCTGACCCTATAGGCCCCACCCACACTGCTACTCTCCCTCCAGGGCCCCCTCAGCTCAGGGAAATGGGGAGACTTCGATGGGCCTCCCACCACTGGCCCCAGAGAGGACATCATGTCCCACAGCAGACAGGCCCGCCATCTCCTTCCTAAGTGCCTCTTTTTTGAGCAATAACAAAGCTCTTGGACCTCATAGTCTCAATTTTCTTTTCACCCCACCCTCCAGAGATTCTCCATTGGTTCGCCTCCCTTTAGAAGTAAATTAGAAAACTGTGCAGTGAAGTTGACTTCTAGAAGTCATCCATGGATGGGTGGAGCTAAGAGCCAGGCAGAGATTGGTGGTCCCATGTGTATGTCATTATAATCTGACCAATTGGCTATGGAGGTGTGTCCCCACATTCAGAAGGTCTCTATAGGGGATGGAGCAGGCAAGCCCTGGTCTCTAGGCTTCAGCCTGGCAGTGAGTGATGGCCCAGGAAGCTGTCCCTGCTGGAGAATAATGGGAGATAAAATGGCATAGGTGGTATGAAGACAGGTCTGCACTTTGGAGGAGGATGGATGAATGGGGCAAGGGAATTAGCGTTCATTGAGAATGATGGTTAGGAGTTGTGGCCCAGATTAAGATAGATGTGGGTTCAAATTCTGGCTCAGGCACTTCTGTGCTGTGTGACCTTAGACAAGTGATTCCACCTCTCCGAGCCTCAGTTCCCTCCTCTGAAAAACAGAATGACATTACCTATTTCCCAGAGTTTTACAAGGATTCAATGAAATTGTGTGTGCTCCCTGGCACATAGTAAGAACTCAGTGTATGCCAGTGGTTACTATTATTAGCTACTATGTGCCAAGCCCTGTGCTCAGTATTTTCCATGCATCATGAGGAAGGCTTTTTTTTTTTTTTTTTTTTTTTTTGAGACGGAGTTTCGCTCTTGTTGCCCGGGCTGGAGTGCAATGGCACGATCTCGGCTCACTGCCACCTCTTCCTCCCGGGTTCAAGCAATTCTCCTGCGCCAGCCTCCCAAGTTGCTGGGATTACAGGTGCCTGCCACCACCCCCAGCTAATTTTTGTTATTTTTAGTAGAGACAGGTTTTCACCATGTTGGCCAAGCTGGTCTCGAACTCCTGACCTCAGGTGATCTGCCTGCCTCGGCCTCCCAAAGTGCTGGGATTACAGGCGTGAGCCACCGCGCCTGGCCGAGGAAGACATTATTTTTATCCTGACTTCACAGAGAAGGAATTCCAGTTGTATGCAGTTCAGTAACTTGCCCCACCAGCTAAGCCTGGCAGAGCTGGGACACAGTCCCCTGTTGGGCACCAAAGTACTCTTTTTACTCATCCACCCTGCTCTGAAACTGGAACCCAGGCATCCATATTCTCCACCGGCCCCTGGGCTCATATTGTCTGTTTTCCTACCTGACTCACCTTTGAGGTTGTGGGAGGCTCTTCCCAGGAGACACGTCTCCTTTGATTGCATTTGTCTGAGAACCCAGCACTCCGCAAGCCCAGGCCATGAGATGTAATCTGCAATGAATGTGGTACACAATAAATACAGGTAGTCCGTTTATGAGCTGCCGTATTTATTACACCCCTTAATTGCTAAAGAGCCAGAGCCAGCTGAAGCTGGATCCTACCCTGGAGAGAAGCTCTGCCTGGGTGGGCAGAGGGAGGGATGGCAGAGCCTGGCCCTCCCTCACAGGAGTACTCAGCCTCTCGCTGTTGTGGCTGCTCTGCCTCCAAAGGCCCGTTCATCAGAGTTAGGACCTGATAGAGGAAATGGTCAGGGCATCAGATTCCTGCTCTGCCATTTGACACATGAAGACCCTGAGGCCAGAGAGAGAAAGTGATTTGCCCAAGGTCACACAGCAGTGACTTACAGAGCAGGAGGCTGGGCTCCAGACTCCTAGGCCAGTGCTCCTTGTGTCCAATTCTCTGCTTGAACATCTGCTCCTGGATCGGGTAGAGACACAGAATCTGGAGTCGGGTGAGTGGTGGTTTTGTAGCCCAGTCCGTGCATACAAGCTGTGTGATACTGGGCACGTTACTTGACCTCTCTGAGCCTCAGTGTCATCTGTAAAATGGGCATAGTACATCCTGCTTTAGGGGCTTGTGGAGAGATTCAAGGCAGTCAGTTCTGTGGAGCTGGCACGTGACTAGCCATGAGTCAGTGTTCAATAAATGTTCTTTCCTATCCTCTTTTCCCTTTCCAAAGGGCACAGGTGTCTGAAGATGCATGGAGCTGAAATCAACCAAGAGCTGAAAAGAGAGATGGGTCAGAATAGAAAGGCTCTGGGGTGTGAGGCATTGTCCTGGGTTTCTAATCTAACAGCAGGCCTGTGAGTAACCTATGGAGGCAGAGTTAAGTGTGGACATGATAAGAGCTGTCCACCCTGCTCTGTACAGGTACAGTAGGGAGCCCTTTACATTGGACATTTTCATAGGTGAAGAAACTGAGGTTCCAACAGGCTAAGCCACTTGCCCAAAGACGCAGAGGTAGAAAAGGTGATGGGCTGGGATTCGAACCCAGGTGTGTCTGACTTCAGAGCCCATGCTTAGGACCATGCTGATTAGATGCAGGTTAGATGTTCCTTCTAGAAATCAGGGATGTGGTTGGCAAGCTGGCCTGGAATTGGTATCCTGGAGGACCATTCTGCAGGAAGAGAGCCTGGGCTTGGTGAGGAAGGAAGAGCCAAACGCCCCACCGTCAGGGATGGTGGTTGAGATGCTTAACAAGCACTATGCACTGGCATGAAGCAACCGAAGACATGCTGGCCAGACAGCAGGACAGCGATCCCTATGGGTCGCCGCTGAATCTCAGCCCTGCCCACTGCCCTCTGGGAGGGCAGGGCCTGGAGGAAGGGAAGGGATAGGTTGTCCTGGTGCCTCCCATCGCAGGCAGCTCTAGGCTTTCAGGCCTCAGGAAGCTCTGGAGAGAAGGGTGAGCAAGCAGGGCATCAGGAGGGCCCTGTCCTGGGCTGTCCTCACCCAGGAGAGGGTACAACAGAGAGAGGAGAGGGAGCACAGGAGAGCACGGCTGTGGGTTTGAATCCTTATTGCTCCACTTTCCAGCTGTTGCAGGCGAGGAGGATACAAATGACTGGAAGCATGCCTTAGCCCAGCACCAGGCTTCCTGCACACCCTGCTGAATTAACACTCTCTGTGTGGAGGGGTTTTACTTAGTCCAAACCATGTGCAACCCTACTGTGTCCCAGGAGCGCACAGCCACGATTCTGCTCCTCTGAGATTCACCAGGAACGCTGGCTGATGATGTTATGGTATATATTTTGGTGGGGGCAGTGATGGATGTCAGCAGAGGCCGTGGGATATTATATTAGGGGAAGGCACTGAACTTGGCTCGATGGGGACAGGAGGGGGGAATCAGGGAAGGCTTCCTGGAGGAGGTGATGCCTGTGACGCGTGTTAAAGGATGAATAGGAATTAAGTGGGACTGGCGTAGGTGGAAAGGCAGTCCAAACAGAAGGGATCAGCATGAGCAGAGGCACCAAGTAAGCCTCAGGGAGATACCTCTGGGGGACTCTCCTTTGATGCTGGTGATAGGAAAGTGAGGGCAGAAATAACAAGAGGTGGCCACGGGGAGTCTTGGAGGTCCTGTGGTCTGCAGGAGGCAGCTTGGTCTCCTATAGAGGTTGGGTTCCAGCAAGAGAAGGCTGTGGTGACATGCACTTTGTGGAAAGGTCCTTCTGGCAGCAGGGAAGCACTGGATTGAAGGGGAGGTAGGGAGGCCAGTCCCAGCCCAGAGGCTGCAGCCATGTCTGGATGAGAGAGAAAGCCAGGAGCACGGCTGAGGCTGGAGATGTTTCAGAGACCCCTGTGATAGAGAGGATGGTGTCATCCGATTTTACCTCCGAAGGCAGATGGCATGTCATGAATTCAGGCCATGCTGACTGAAGTAAAGGTAAATCCCCCACCCTGCCATCACACACACACCATCCTTTGTCCTTCCAAGCTGGACTGCCTGGGTTCCAATCTTGGCTTCACCACTCACTAGCTATGACCTCAGACAAGTCACCTCACCTCTATCTGTCTCAGTTTCCACCTCTGGAAAATAAAAATAAGAGTACTGATCTCATGGGTTGTTGTGAGTTAGTAAATGTAAAGTATTAGGACAGAGCCGGCACATAGTAAATGCTCAATAAATAGTATTATTTGTAGGGGTGGAGACTTGGGTGGATGACCTCAGGAAAACCCTGATTTCCCCTTCCCCCAAAGCAATTTAAGAGAAACCATTGGGGCGCCGTTAGAAGGACAAAAGCTTGGAGCCTGGAGTCCCTGGGTCAGGTTCACCCCATGATTTTCCCTTGCGTTCCTCACCAGGTAACTTGGTGCCTCAGTTTCCCCCTCCTAGTAAAATAAGGAGGATGTCCCAGGTGGGCTCTGAGTGTCTTCCCTTCCTGGCTTTGATGCTGAGTGGCCCCACTTGTGCCTCCCCTGCTCAGCATTTTTCCAAGTTGCATTAAGGACCAGTAGAGCAACAAGGAGGAGGTGTCCCTTTAGGGAAGAAAGCCCTCCGGCCCCAGGGCCAGTGCCAAATCCAAAGCCCATGTGCCTGTCAGACCTTCCTCGTGGGTTCCAGGCGCCTTAGCCATGTCTGCCTGGCCAAGCTCAGCTGGTGGACAGACACCTGGCACCTTGGCAGAAACAATGAGAGGAGGGATGCGAGGCACCACCCCTGAGACCAGAAAGGTCTCACCACCCCTGAGACCTTTCCCGTGTCCACTCCCCACCAGCTGACTCTGTCTGTGCTCCTCTCTCCATGGATTCAAATGCACTTAAAAACAAACAAACAAACAAACAAACACACACCTCTAGCTCAGACCAAAACACAGCCTGGGGTGGTGCTGTCATCACCGATTAGGAGAGGGGTGGAGTGGCCAGGCAGGTAAGATGAGAGGCAGGCACCGCTCTGCTCCATCTGTTCCTTATGATATGAGGGTGCTGGTCTGGCTGCTGAGGAGAGTGTTGGATTGTGGTTTGGGGTGGGGAGGGGACAGAGTTGCTGAGGCCCATTATGTGCCATGGGTCTTGTCACTGCTTCCTGCAAGCTGTGTGGCCTTGGACAAATCCCTTAACCCTTCTGAGGGCTGGGCTGATGGAAGGTTGTGTCATCAGAGTACATACCTCCTTGGTGGTTGCAAGGATTAACCGAGATAATATGTGCAAAGCGCTAGGCACAGTGTTGGATCCCCAAATGGTGGCTACAATTATTACTGTTTTCCCAAATTCATTTTAAATTGACAAATAATAATTGTATGTGTTTACGGAGTCCAATGTGATGTTTTGATACACGTTTTACTATTATTAATATTAATAATAAGCCTCCCAGAAACCCTTTGAGTCAGACTTAGCAACCTTATTTTGTGGAGGAAGAAGATGGAGTCCAGCCATGTCCTGTGGGAGGAAGCGGGAGCTGTAGAAAGTAATCAGATACCATCTCCCCGACATCCATCCACACCCCGACACATACTCCCAGAACCCTTTGCACCGAGTCCTGTCATGGAGGTACAGACACCCCAGCTGGAAGCACCTGCAGTGCCGGCAGCTCAGGACTGGCTTGAGTGCTGGCCCTGCCCCTTACTAGCTGCGGGACATTGGACATGTCGTTTTCATTCTGAGTCTCGGTTTCCCCACGTGTCGCATGGATCTCTAATCCCTGCCCTGAGTCTCTCCTCAGAGCCGTTATGAAGAAAATGTGAAAATAACGAATATGGAATGTAAACATGTCTTGTGCACCTTGAAGTCTGACTCATGGGAGCAGATGCTGTCAGCTTCCCCTGGGGGATGGGGGACGTTTGCATCTCAGTGCAGCCCCGGCTGTGCCTGGCAAGCAGCAGATGCTCAATCAATGCTGGCTGAATGGAATTGTGTTCAGTGACTTTGCTGCCACGGGTATACTTTTAGGTGAAGACAGGAAAGGCTCCCGGGGAGGTGGGATGCTGGAGGTCTCGGAGTAGATGTAGCCAAGGCTCAGGAAGGCTTTGGCCCCAGAAGCAGGTTTTAGACCCCCAGGTAGGCTGCTCTCCTTTTCCCTGCAGCACCCTGTCTCACTGGCACCAAGCAACCGCCCTGGTCTCTTCTGTGGCTGGAGGGTATGTGGGATGGTGGGAAGTTTGTCAGGCCTGGCTTCCGGTCCTGGCTATGGGACCTTGGCAAGTCCCTCCAGGCTCTGGGCCTTGGTTTTCTCATCTATGAAATGGCCAGCTCACACCTGCAGTAGAGCAACAGCGTGAAGCAGGACTGCTGGGCACTTACCACATGCCCGACAATGTGCTAAGCATGTTACTGTGGGATTTCAGTTCATCTTCACAACACTGCTAGGAGGAAGGTTCTGTTCTTAATCTCCGCTTTAAAGTTGGAGAGAGCAAGATCCAGAGAGGTGGAGTAATTTGCCCAAGGTCACACAGCAAACGAAAGCTGGAGCCAGGGCTGAAACCCGGCAGTCTGGCTCCAGCATTCTCATCTCTATGATCGGCCTCCATCTTCTTCCAGCCTTTGCACGGGTGGGGCTGGCTGTGGGGACCCCCTGGGGAGGGGCTGGGGTTCTTCCTGGGCGGGGTCCCCCATCGGGAGGACTGAGGTGGCCTTGTGTTTTTAGGTGGAGCACCATGGAAGGCGATTGTTTGAGCTGCATGAAGTACCTGATGTTTGTTTTCAATTTCTTCATATTTGTAAGTATCCTGGGTCTTCCCAGGCCTCTGCTGGGTGGGCAGAACTGGCTGCTGCTTTGAAGTAGTCACACTGGGCTGAGTCCCTGGGGTGAGCACAGGGGCCGGTGCTAGAGGCAGGGGTACCTCCCAGCCAGGCTTTCATGGAAGGGGGCCCCCAGCAGTGCCCACCCCACTCTGAAGAGCCTACCTTCTTAGGAGAAACATTTTACACAGGCCCTGGGGTGGGTCAGCCCCTCTCAAAAAGGTGGAGGGGACCTCGGTCCGGCCACTGTCTTGGGATCTGACCCCTCGTAGGGAGTGGGAAAGGAGGGGATGGGAGTGATCAGAGGGCAACAAGAGGGAGCCCCACCCAACCTTATCTCCCCGAGCAGTTGATGGACTTCAGAGCTGGAGGGGCCGAGTCCATGTTGCCACCAGATATAATCAGAAACCTCTCTGGGACTGGAAGACCTGCATCCAAATTCCACTGCTGCATCTTAGCAGCTTGTGGTTTGAGACACATTTCACCTCTCTGAACCTCAGTATCTTCATCTCTTAATGACCTTCCTCAACAGGCTTTTTGAAAATTAAGCAAGCTTAGTTTACAAAGTACCCTGGATGTGGTCAGTCCTCAATAGCTTAGCTCCATTTCCATCCAACCTACGGATTCTGTATATGAAGGGACAGAGGCCCGGACATTCAGGTGACCCACCCACCTGCTGGTGGCCCACCGAAGGCTCTGCTCGGACTCACGGCCCCTCCCAGGAGTAGAGCTGTGGCCCTGGCTTCTTGGACCCCCACAGGCTTTCCTGGTCCAGCCCTCTCAGCCTTTGATCTTAGTACAGCCAAGACCTGGGTGAATAAACCTCCACTCATGTCCTTCAGGGCAGGTTCTTGAAAGAGGGGTCCTCTTTCTGGCCAGGACTGACCATCTGTCTCTCTCTCAGTGTCTATCTTTCCCTCTCTATCTCTATCTCTTTATTTTTGTGTCTTTTAAAAAAATACACATTTCAGCAACTCCCTTAGTTTCTCTTCCCTACCTCATCATCCTAAAAAGCCTCAAGCCTTGCAGACTTGAATTCTAGACCCAAGGTCACCACCTTCCAAGCCGGGTGACCCTGGGCCAGCTCATCCTTCCTCCAGCCCCAGCGTTCCCACCTGAAATGGAGCTGGGCCCTCCTTGAAGTGTTTAGCATGCAGTTGCTGAATCCCCAAATCTCCGGCAGCAATAAGGAGACACAGATTTTCCTGGAGGTCGTGTGGGAGACCAACGAGAGAGACACAGGCTGGGCACAGTGGCTCACGTCTGGAATCCCAGCACTTTGGGAGGCAGAGGCGAGTGGCTCACCTGAGGTCAAGAGTTCGAGACCAGCCTGGCCAACATGGTGAAACCCCGTCTCTACTAAAAATACAAAAATTAGCCATGCGTGGTGGTGGGTACCTGTAATCCCAGCTGCTTGGGAGGCTGAGGCAGAAGAATCGTTTGTACACGGGAGGCGGAGTTTGCGGTGAGCTGAGATCATGCCACTGTACTCCAGCCTAGGTGACAGAGTGAGACTCTGTTTCAGAAAAAAAAAAAAAAAAGGGAGAGAGACACTGCACAGCAGATGGCGAAAATGGAAACCCTGTCGCTGGCCATGCCTGTTAGGTCTTTCCTTCTCTTTCCCCTGCTGAGTCCTTCAGGCGTCTCCACTGGACTGCTGCCCTAAGGGTACCTACAAACGCCCCTTGCCCAAAGCCATCAGCTGTCTTCAGCTTGCAGTCCTGCTCAGCCAAGCCAAAGCCCAGCGGTTTTCCTGTCACCCAGCTGTCAACCCTCACACAGGCCTCTTGGGCCTCCGGTCCTCCCACCACACAAAGGGATTTCAAATACTTTACAGCCTGCAAATCCCATGGTACCAAACTTTGGTTCTTCCCACAACAGGTCTGCTTCTAAAACGTATCTGTGCCCAAGAAAAATGGAATAGGCTGGGCACAGTGGCTCACTCCTATAATCCCAACAGTTCGGGAGGCTGAGGCAGGAGGATCACTTGAGCCCAGGAGTTCGAGACCAGCCTGGGCAACATGGCAAAACTCCATCTTTACAGAAAAATACAAAAATTAACCAGGCCTGGTGGCACGTACCTGTAGTCCCAGTGACTTGGGAGGCTGAGGTGGGAGGATGACTCAGGCCCAGGAGGTCAAGGCTGCAGTGAGCTGTGATCCGGCCACTGCCCTCCAGCCTAGGTAGCAGAGCAAGACTCTGTCTCAAAACAGAAAAAGTAAAGAAAAATGGAACAGATCTTTATTGAAATCTGCTAAACGCCTTCTATCCTTTCTTCCTTAGTGCTGCCTTAGGTTGTGGGTGTTTGAGTCTTCTTTTGACCACAAGGAAGCTAAAAGGCTCAGATAGGTTATGACACTTGCCTAAGGTCACACAGCTAATAAGTGGCACAGCTCTCTCTCTAGACTATGCTACCTCTTTCCAAAGATAAACAAGGCACGGAGAACCCAGGTTGATGGAGACATAAATAAGAAGGCTTTTGAGCCATGGATTTGAGAGAGGGGAGCCCACTCTCGGGTTGAAACCTCACTGAGAGTCCTGTGGGGCACAATGACCATGACTTGGTCGGTGTTTTCCCAGCCCCTAGCATGGGGTGGTGCAAACACAGCACAGGGCTCACTCAGAGCATGTTCATGGACCTTTGTTGAGGGTGTTGAGGCTGCAGTCAGGGGGTCTGCGACCAGAAGGCATCTCTGACTCTGCCATGAACTTGCTGTGTGACCTTCAGCAAGTTGGTGGCCCCCTCTGTGTGGAATCAGAGGGTCGGACTAGATGACCTCCTAATCCTACAGGTCTGACATTTCAGGAGAAGATAAAATTGGCAAATAGCCTGTATATGATAACATTTCTCAGCAGCCCCAGGTAGGGCCTGGGTCAGAAATTGGATTTAGAGGATGCGTGTTGCACTTAAGGTCACGGCCCCTAGAAAAATTCCAAGCAATTCAAGATGCAGCTGGGACTCACTGGCTCTCGCTGCAGATGAATTCCTGCCTGGCTCACCTAGTGCTTGATGCCTCCGACCCTGGGGCCGGCTCAGGGGAGTGGTGCGTCAGAAGTGCCTAACCTCCCTTTCTGCCTATTTCTCCTCCCAACTCCTCCACTGGCCCGAGCAGCTGGGCGGGGCCTGCCTGCTGGCCATCGGCATCTGGGTCATGGTGGACCCCACCGGCTTCCGGGAGATCGTGGCCGCCAATCCTCTGCTCCTCACGGGCGCCTACATCCTCCTGGCCATGGGGGGCCTGCTGTTTCTGCTCGGCTTCCTGGGCTGCTGCGGGGCCGTCCGTGAGAACAAGTGTCTGCTGCTATTTGTGAGTACCCCAGCCCCCACCCCACCCATGGGTGCTCTGAGGGGTGTCGGGGATCGGCTGCAGACTCCCAGGCCCTGCCTGGCTTCCATTCAGACCAGTGCTTCCCAAACTGGGGGCGGGCTGTCAAAGAAGGGATCACGGAGATGAGCACGTCTGACCGCACTCATTCGGTCGTCAATAGTCCTGAAACCCTGAGATGCTCAGCGACTTGCCCAGAGTCCCATGGAGTTGGCGGCAGAGGGGATGACACAGACGCTAGGCCAGGGCCCTTGTAGTGCTTCAAGCTGCCTCTTCCCATGCCTTTGGGACCTGTTTTTTTCCCTGGGGCAGCCCTTCCTCTTTCCCACTTCACTTTGTTGCTTTCCTGCAGACAAGCCAGGGCCCTTGGCTTAACGCACACCTAGTCTGTATCCACATGCCAGGAAACTCAGAATGAGGTTTGTGCCACATAGGCCCACCTCCAGGGGTGGGATGGTCCCCAGCCTTTTCCATTTGCCTTGGTGGCGCCAGCTTCCAGAGTCTGCTTTTTTACGGGGCCCACGCCTGCAGTAGGTGAGCTGGCCCAGGTGGAGGGAGCCTTGCGTCCAGGTCTGAACAACCAGGCGTCTCCAAGGCGTGGTCAACTGAGAGCACTGACATTGACCTTGATGTTTTTCCACTTGCTTGCTATTAAAAACTCTAATATATAATTCCTTAGTAACATCGCTAAGATGACTAGTGGATGAGGCCTTCCCCTTGTAGATATCCAATTCTGAAGTAGGTGTGATATGGCCTCTGAAGGTTTCTTAGTCATCAAGTAAATAGCCCTTGAACTCCTGTCACGCGCATGTAGTTCACTGAGTGCTGAAGATGCGTCGGGGACCAGGAGCGACGGTCCCTTCCCTCACAGACAGGCACAGGGGAGGCAGCCGAGCTGTGCGGATGAGCTGGGCAGCGGGCAGGCCTGATTTGAGTGTACTCCCTGCTCCATCCCCTAAGGGTGCGGCTCCCGTCTAGTTCCCTGACCTCCCAGAGAGCAGCCGAGTCTTCTTGTTAAATGATGGGCTGGCCAGCTCAGCTATAGATCACAGCCAAACCAGACAGGCAGTGGGTCTCTAGTTCTCTGGTCTCCTGGATTCCCATGGGCAGTGGTGCTTGGGGTCTCCACCTGCTTTCCTGTGCTCGGCGGGTGGGTCTTCTCTCCTCTAAGAAGTCCTGGACTTGGAGAACTTCTGGGCTGAGCCCAGTCCTGCTACAGGGTAAGTTAAAAACAGCCCTGTTTAGGCCGGGCACGGTGGCTCAAGCCTGTAATCCCAGCACTTTGGGAGGCCGAGACGGGCGGATCACGAGGTCAGGAGATCGAGACCATCCTGGCTAACACGGTGAAACCTCGTCTCTACTAAAAGTACAAAAAACTAGCCGGGCGCGGTGGCGGGCGCCTGTAGTCCCAGCTACTCAGGAGGCTGAGGCAGGAGAATGGCGTGAACCCGGGAGGCGGAGCTTGCAGTGAGCTGAGATCCGGCCACTGCACTCCAGCCTGGGCAGCAGAGCGAGACTCCATCTCAAAAAAAAAAAAAAAAAAAAAAAAAAAAAACAGCCCTGTTTAGAGAAGTGTGGATGTGGCTGGGTCAACTTGCGGATGCTCCTCGTGTGAAACTTCGTGGGCAGAGTTAAATGACAGGGAGACCTGGGCTGGTTGGCTGGAGGGCTCCCTTGCAAAATTCTGTGGATAAACCAGCACCAGCAGCGCTGGGAGGAGAGACCTAGCACCATACCTCCTCCCCAGGTGACAGCACACTGCACGGCCCCATTCATGTCCCGGTGAGATGCCCCCCATCCAAAGGAAGTGAAGTCAGCTGCCAAATGAGTGACAGGGAGCCTTGGGCCCATGTGTGCCTAACCTCCCTTTCTGCCTGTTTCTCCTCCCAACTCCTCCACTGGCCCGAGCAGCTGGGCGGGGCCTGCCTGCTGGCCATCGGCATCTGGG